GTGGCAAGGAGCCCGGGGCAGGGGCTGCCTGCGGGAGGTCCCTGCCCTGCAGCGAGGAAGGAAAGGCAGCAGACAGGCAGCTGCCCATACAGACAGGCCACCGCGCGGGCGGACATCTTTGTTCACGGCTACGGGAATGAAGACATTTCCTCTTGCTGGGAACAGGAGTCTATTCCACAACCTTGAAGGAGCTGAGAATCACTAGAGCCCGAGAAGTAAGATTCTGCCCACAGAGATCGATTCTCTCAGCGTGACCACTTCTGGAGGAGGCACACGTCTGTGGGCAGCCCCTTTGCTGGACGACACAGCACTTCTTGCAGGCACACTCCTGCGCAGGTTCTCCTGAATCACTACTGTCTGAACACCAAAGGTCTCACCTGTCCTCATGTCTGGGTCTCAGAAGACTGTAACACCATACACAGGCGTCGACATGGCCCTGCCATTCAGAGAGGACAATTTGCTAAGTTTGCTGGAGCCTTTCCCAAGCTGCCTCCACTTCCTCACGTGAATTTTTTTTGTTCCTGGTTGAGGACTGTGGCATGCACCAAGTGCTTTTATACGGCTCGCAAGAGGGTGGGCCTTCAAAGGCCAGGAAGGCCTCTACGGGAAATGCTATGAAACAGCTGAAAATATGACTTGCTCGTCTTGCTCATCCACTACAACTTCCACACCAGAAATGATGAAAAAGTGCATTATTTGTGTTAATCAGAAGCAGGTTCAACACTGAACATAGGCACGTGATGGTCAGAGATAGTAATAAGTACATCTCTGAGAACAACATACAGGCATAATGCTGTTTATTCCGATGTTATGACAAGGTGAAAAGCATGATTTTAATTTAGCCTGTATTTATAGTGTACTATTAGCAAAATATTTAGGTGTCGAACAATAAAGAAAAGCGACCAAAAAAAATTACTCAAGTCCAGATACTGAAAATAATTTTGGCATATATAAAACCCAAACAGTCCCATAGTAACCCATCATTTCATACTAACAGAGAGAGAAGGAACAGAAAAAGCAAGAACGAAGAAGACAGGTAGCATCACAGAAAGTCTTGGCATAGCCCTGCACATGGAAATGGGCTAAGTTTACTTGTGGCACTGCCTCAAATGTAACTGTTGGTTATGTCTCATAATATTTTGTGGAAAAACAGCATACAATAAACACCAGAAGTGTGAAGATCAACACTATTTCCAAGTCAACACAGAAAAGAGCTGTCACAATGAGGATGAAAAGGACTGAGGATGAGAAAGACTAACATACCAACTTCCTACTGTTTTAGTCAACTGATACTTTTAATCTTTTAGAATAAACTTCCTAGGCTTGCTAATAATGATTTTGGTATTTGGGAAGAAGTGAAATTTCCAAGACGGAACTAAGTAGCAGTACAGACAGAAAAGTCATCAACTGGTAAAAATATCAGATGATCCAGAGGAGGCGACAAAGGAATTAACGTCCCTGAGGTTGCTAAACTGTGGCCAACTCCTCTCTTACAAAGGCTAACTTTGCTTAAAATTCTCCCAGATTGAGTGAGATTAGTCTTGAAAAAGGAGATGAGAAGATCAGCTAAGACAGTCAGCTAGAAGAAAGGGTTTGTGTTTGGACAGATTATAAATCTGTTCAGCTTCATAGAAATATCCACTTTTCTGACAGCTTACCTGAAACTCAGATTTCTCCCCATTTTTTGCATGTTCACTACAGTAAGATAATAAAGTTATTTTGAAAAGAAGTACCTACCAGGAAGTGGAAAAGCCTGTAATGTACATTGAAATTAACATTATACATTTCAGTACAAAAGAATGTAAAATAATAACTGACTAGCAGATGTTTGATTTTAATTATGAATTTAACCACAACACAGAGAAAAACACTAATGAATTATATTCACTTTTGTTATAAATGACCTGTATGCACTTTCTATGTTATTGAGCTTTCCAGAAGAAAGGTTAGTCTTTTGCTAGCTATATATCACAGCTGCTTTCTCACATTTCTCAGAAAATAAACTTTGTACCCTGACAGGTGAAGACTCAAGCATGTACCAGGCTGCCAAATTCAATCAGGCAGAACTATAAGCAGCCTCCCTTCAGGGCTGCTTCTTTGAATTAAAAGTTTGCAGAGGTCAACAACCTTTCTGCCCCAGGTTTTGTTGTAAGCTGAGGAGGTTTTATACCAGCCTGTCAGCCTACTCAACTGGAAGTTATTAGTGTTCTCTGCTACAAAGGAAAACTAACTCAAGCCTTAAACATTTTATAGGGTTAACAACTGTTGGGGAATCCCACAAAAGAAATTAGCCAATGTGCAAAACTGAAAAAAATCTATCGTCAATATCAACTCAAACCACTTACAGATTGCTACGAGATCCACTGAATTACAGCTCTCAGTCTCAGCAAAAACACTGTTTGTTTTTGAACTATATTTAGACGATGGATGTAGCTAGCGTCTGGAGCAATGTAACTACATTTTATACAAAGTCATGTAGACAAAAAATTCACTCATACCTGTTATCTAAGATAGGAAAGATTGTTCAGTTTTTTCACAATTTCACTAACAGAAAAATTTCACATATAGCAAGCTGAAGAGTCTATTTCTTTTCCTTCTTAAAATCTTCATCAAGAGATAGATTTTTTTAAACCGTTCTAGCTACCACCACCACAGAAAACTCAAACATGATCTCTGTAAGCCATTCTCAAGGACAACCTGTATCTTTCCAAGCTAACCATGAACGCCCACCCAAGCAAAAGTGTGAAACAGGAGAAAAGGCACCCTCTCTTTGGCCTTCTGTGAATAAAACCACTGCTGAAACTGAAAGTTAGAAACTGGGCCAAAAGAAGTTATTCAGGCACGTAATTCCAAGGGAACTCAACTCAGAAGTATGCAAAGCTTTCCAAACAGAAAAAGTACTTTTTTTCGTTCTTGTTACTGGGAGAAAAAAGAACAGTTCTATTCAGATCAACAAAGCACACCCATTAACTGTCATTCCAACTATACTGCAAGTGACTGAGAATCAATTTTTCCTAGGAATCCAGGACGGATACTTACACAGCCTCCAGCGAGGACCTCTGCGGGGAGTGGAATGGAACCATCTTTCTTAGTAAATTTGTCTCTGACAAAGTCATTAACCTAATAAAGAAACAATACATTACACACAATTTTAAGATGTTTTTCCTCCTTATTAACATACATCAAGTACCTCTGTAACCATATATACTTGAGTGCTTGTAAGTGGTCATTTTTCACACATTTTAGGAAATAAATCCTGTGTATGTTAACAAACAAAAGGATGCCAGAAAAAAAATAACGATACGTACAGTTAGCTTAATAGCCTTTTCTGGAGCAACACCTATCAGCTGTGGTAACAAGCCTATAGAAACAAAGACATCATAAGGCAACATTATCTTCCTAATACAGAAACAAGTATTTTATAAGAGCTCTATAGAAATGCCTTTCTGCACATGAGATGTCGCTTGAGGTGGACGGCATTTATGTATGTGATGCTGCTACAGCACTGCCTGTTCATACCAATACAGTTTAATATTAAGATTTCTGTTGAAAATGGTAATGAAAGGGGTGACCAGATTTGCCTCCCACAACCAAGTCAAGCTTGATGCTGTTGCTGTACAGAAGGGAAAAAGGGGTAAAGACTGAACATACCGCTTGGATATGCCTACTACGTAAGAGTTTGTTTGACTTTTTTAGCCCCTTAATATCATTTTCCCATAAAGCTTGCAATTACTTTTGAAAAATTATCAACTCACTTCTACTTGACTCACTAACCTGAGTTTTCTGAAGGCTGCAGTGGAATAAGGATATAAAGGATTTTCTCTTGTTCAGTCCAAGACAGTAGCATGAAGTCCTTTAAACCCTATTACTATTAAGCATTTTTTATCTCACCAAGAGGAAGCATTAGTTGACAGAAACTGATTTTGAAAAGCCTCTTGCTCCTGGAAAATAGCTACTATCAAAATGAACTGCCATTTAACAAGAACACACACACTTTTCTAGGAACTAATAGGTTTAAGAAAAAAATCAGTAGATGGCAGTCTTAACTTCCCAACATACAAGATTATAACAGTATCTGTTATTTTAAAATCCATTTTCTCCACAGTCGTTCTGGCATATGTATAGACTATGAAACTTAAAAGGCTTATTTTTATTAGAACTGTTGATTTCCTAATGTAATTCCATGGGTAGGGAATATCAGTTTGCTAACTGTTCGCCAGTTAACTAACAAAAAAATCCCATGCTAACTATATAAAATATCAGATAACAGCAACAAAATTGTATCAATGCAGTTCTCCACAATCTGTCAAGTGAAAAGAGTAACAGCTAAAAATTCACTAAAAATGTCCAAAAAGTACTCAGCCTGCAGAATTTTTCTACTACGTCCTTAAAAGGAAGCTCAGAGCAAACACACCTAAACAGAAATTGCAGCAGTTAATATATGCAGCGTAGTGTTTTCTTGCAATGTAGTACTTTCTGTGCAATTTACAGACTGAGGAAAGGTAGTTATTAAATACAAAGAAAGGTTGACAATAACAAAAAGAAGTGCTGCCCTCGCAGCCTGAATCTCTGATCTACTATGAAAAGAAACTCCAGCTCTGCGGCGCCTACAGTTTAAAAACCCCAAACTACCAGACAAAACACCACAAGACAACCCCCCTACTCCCTTTCACGCAGCTGAACTCGTTGGGCACACACATTCGCTGTGCCAGAGGACCAGGCACCCTCCATGGTCTTGTGAAGGCCCTTAGAAGATACTTCATTAGTTCTCAAGTCAGATGCCAGGATTCAAAAGTGTCACAATTTTCTTGACCAAAATTTATAAGTTCTCATTTAAAAATATGAACTTTCCAGGATGCGTTCAGATCTATTTTTTAAACCATAGTAAATGACTACTTTGTACCGTTCTGTTACAATTAGGGCAATTCACCTCAGGAACAGAAGAACCCACAATCAACTCCATGAATGTTTCTGCTGTTTAGTTTAATAGACTCCTACAGACCACCTAATTCTGTGAGTCCAAGACCTCAGTAACATGCTGACCATTAACATTTTCAGAACAACTACATGAACTTCTTAGGCTAAACAATCTTAAAGACAATTATTAAGCAGACTATTAAAAAGTTTACCAAACTGACACTCTTT